ACTTGGAAACATGCTAGGCACAGGCTTAAGTAAGAAGCCCGATGGTTGTGAAGGCACCTGCAGTAACCAATATTTTACATATTAAACAACCAATTTATATGCGATATTGAACTGCCAGCTACTTTGTGGAGAGAGCCGTATGTATTCAGAAAGAATACTTGATGCACTGAGAAAAAAAAAACCAATATATGCAAGAAGTTGAAAACTTGCTAATTAAAGAATGCATCATTTCTTGGGACTGTCAAGCCTAAGAACAAAGCATTGGATAAGAGAAGAATGAATCATCATTGCTGAGTGAAAATTGAAATCGTATAACAACATACATGAAGGGGATGAGCAGAAATTGACGGAAGATGCTTGAAAAGCCTCATTCCAAGAAACATCTGCAACTGCTTTTGCCGCGAACTGTCAAACACTACGTTTTGGTATCTTCTTTGAACAGTGATTGTCACATTTTGGAACTGCTTGAACTTTCCTCTCTCTTCTTTAAATATGTTAAGAATTTGGCTGTGCATAGCTTTAGACCCAGTATAAAGAGTTGCATGGATATCACCTGCAAGCAGAAAAAGATCTGCTAACTGACATACAGGTGACAAAATTGTTGATCTTTTGAACTCTTCAAATGACATATCAAATCTCTTCCAGGGCTTATCTGGACATGGATGCACCCATGTTGTTGTCTTTGTGTTGTGATCAATATAATATGTTTTGCCTGTCACTGTATCAGATCTTTTCTCCCAGCCTGGTGGCAAGGGAGCAGTATATCCACCATAGTTAGTAATGGATTGATAACCATATCCAAAATCACTATCAAGTGATATCCCTAGCCGCCTGCATTGCTCCACAAAGACTTGAAGGGAGCCAAAGTAACTAGCAGCATTGGTTCGATCCAAAGAATCGGCACAGTTGAAACGTATTACTCCATTTTGATGTGATCTCAAGCAAAAGGCACCCTCTATATGATCATTATATATGACCTCCCCTTTGCAGTCCTTAAGTCGTTGTCGTGAAGGTAAATAGTCCCCTTCAGAAATGCCTATTGCTAAAGTAGGGGCCTTCAAAAGTCTCCACAATCCTTCAATTGTTTGCTGTTCGCCTTTTAATTTCGTACTGGCATGCCAGTCATAATTTATTAAATGAACTCGAGTATTTTGCAGTTTTCTAGTCGACCTGATATAGTTCAATGATTCCTCAAAATGCTGAACTAAAATGGATTCTGATTTTCCTTCACCATTTCTAAGTAAGTTGATGCACACAATTGGAACAAAAGTCTTTTTCTTCTGATTTTCTGCAATGCCTACATCTAAATTTCGAGCATCATATCGCTTATTTAATCTCTGATAGTACTCTACGCTTCCTTTATATGGATCACGATCTGCAACATAAATTTCTGCTTCTGCAGCCATGATTTTCAGTTCTGCACCCCACCATATTGGAATTGTGCCACGCCGCCAAATGTAGGTGTTGAAAGGAACACTCTGACCAGCACTTTTAGGAATCCATACAAGCTGTTCACACTCTACTTCATTCCCTGTTATATGCATTTTTTAGTTAAGAAGAATTTGCCTTAAACAGCAAATAGTCAAGATAAATAAAAAAGGAAATAGTGATGCAACAATATAACAGAAACAGGAAATATATAAAAATGAAGCAGAAAAATTAGTTGCTTGTACCAGACATCTTCAGCCCAAATAAATAAGAATACTCATTATTTCAAAAAAATAAATAAGAATAATCGCACTGTTAAGCTTGCATCCCAAATATTTAGAAGCTAACACACAACTTCATGGAAGATTTAGGAAAACTGATTGATATCTTAGTTGACATGTAAATAATTATGTAAATGGGTTTGCACCCCCTTGGTGATTGTATTTAATAATACTTTTTTATACTTTTTACATTAAAAAAAAAACACAACTTCATGATATCCATGGCTGTTCAACATAAAATATCTTTGATTGATATTCCTAAACAAGTTAATATTTTAATATTATTTTGATTATATTTCTAAATAGCTATGATTTATGCCAGCTCAATTCTAATTTCTTTTCCTATGCACTTGAGAATTGTGTTAATTACTCTAACTTTACATTTCCTTTTTTAAATCATTGTTCTTTCAGAATTATGAACACTATATATATGTAAATCTTATGGGTTCTAAAGTAGACTTTCAATTCTTAATAAGTTTCATACTATTTTCCAATAAATAATTTTATTTTTGGTGGATTCCAAGAATTTCTTATTTTTATGGTGGATTCTAGTAAAAGCTTACAAAATTCTAAGTTATTCATCTACTTTGGACTTTTTTTAATAGAAAAGTATGATAAATCTACCTTTGGACATTAGCAAAGAACTCTCCTAAACTTGAAATGAGATCAAGCAAACATAATCCAGCGTCTATTCTGCATTAGTTGGTATAAGAGCCTAGGTGTATCCTGATCCATTGGTGTCACACTTCTACGACCAAACACACCCCTATCACCTAT